AGGGGGGGCCCAGGGCTCCATCTCCAGCACTGAAGGAAGAAAAAAAGAAAAAAGTGGTGGTGGAGGGGAGGTCTCTACACTACACAACATATTACTTGCCATTACTAAGCTTGTTCTGCAAGGGCAGACGGACATTTAAACGGGACCAATTTGTGGAACTGTGCTTATGTTTACACAGGAGTAAGGGTTGTGATAGGACTTTAGGAACTGAAGCCATTGGACCTTCTACTTGCATATGAGAGGAACACCAGCAGCACGTTGGAGTTAAAGCCAGTATGCACAGAATTAATCATATTCCAATGAAAGGAAAGGGATTCCATTTCTATACCAGATGCTGTTCTGATAGCAAGAATCAAGTCTGGATCAGACACAAAATATGTCTACACACAGCAAGGATAGCCAGCTTGGGGCTTGCATTGACTCTTTTTTGGCCATAATCATATTACCTGCTCCTGCCCACCTACTTTGGTGGAAAACATCTTTTAATGTACTATTTCAGATATAAATCTTACCAAGGAAAATGGATCCTGACTTGGAATTTTGCACCAAGAGAAGACCACAGCTTTTTACAGATGGGAAGAGGAATTCTAATTCCCTCTGGAAGCCTGCATCCCCTCTTGGTTTCATGATCTAGAGTCATTGCCAGTCTAGGTAGAAGCCCTTGTGCAGGATGACAGAGGACACACACTACCCTCTCCCTTGTCACACATATGGCCAGGTTCTTTTCAGTACTGGGGATTGAACCCAGGCTCTTGCGCCTGCTAGGCAGTGGTCTAACACTGAGCTACATCCCAGCCCCACATATTGCTACTTGATCAAGGAACTAGACCCTAGAAGTGACCCCCATATTCTTTTCTATACAAACCTGGCAACTGCCACCATTTCGCCACTACTGTCCACTGCAAAGCCCGTTTTCTCTCATTGTTGATATTCTTGTCCTAGCTGGAAACACAGAAAACCACCTACAGGTGACCCAATCATCAGGAATAAAGCAAAGTTCTGAGCAGAAGTAGTCTGCTGAGGCAAGTGGGGTACATGGCTTTATATTATTATCTGCCAAATGTTTCTTAGATGAAAGATAAAACACTTAATGGGCACTGAAGGCTAAATTGCATTACCCTTTCATTTCCATCCCTATGATTGATGTTGAGAGGCAGTACTGGTGACCTGGTCAGTAAGATGTTGCTCCATCTACGGGCTTTGGGTTCCACCCTCTCTAGATATAAACCAAGTTGTCACTTTAGCAGAACAGTCACCCATCCTATGAGCCGTGCATTACCTAATCACCCAGGTGCTCACCTCCACCCAGTCCTCAGCCATTGCAGGAGATGAGGGGGGCACACTAAGGGTGCCCTCCATCTTCCTCAGCCTCATGATCACAGGAAAGCAATTGCTTAGTCAAAATCTACCCTTCACGTAAATGGAGACTTTGTGTGTGAAATGACGAGTCTGGAACTTTTTGTAGGATGCTGAGATAGATTTTTAAAAGGAAAAACTCAAGTCTTTGCAGTGACTGTTGAACTGGAAATGGGGTTATCAGGCCACCATTTTGTGAAAATTAAATCGGCACAAATAGATGTGGAGCAGGGCAAACCTCATACCATCCAGGGCTTCCTGTGAAAATCATTTTAACTACCCTTGACCTCTACCACTGTTGTTGGCTTTCGTTTTTCAGTCAATGTACACTTTATCCCCATCTATATAGAATAGAAGAAAAATGTTCAAGGTGTAGTTTCTTGCTCAATAGTGGGATTAAGCTGGGCATTTAGTGAAACATTTGAGTCGTCCCACAAATTTATAATCTCAGGGTGAAAGCCATATGGAGCTTGAAGCATCAAGTTCTGTGGATCACAAGTTGAGGCAAAGTTCCCCCTCTAAGTTTGCCGCTTTCTGTCATTACCACTTCCTCTTTGTATTCTCACAGAAGTTCTTTTGTTTCTTGTAGCATGTTTTGCAATTTATACGGTTCTACCAAATAGCATGTTGCAAACACAAAAGTATGTGTATCAGAAGTCTCTGTATCTTGAAATTGGAATGTGGGTGTGATTCATGAGTTTTACATCAATTATTAAACAGTTGGAGATGAAGATAGGCAGAGATGGATGGGCAGTAAAGTATTCCAGGTACACCTACCAGCTTAGGGCGGTGATAAATGAGTTGGGAAACATGAAAGTTCAAAGCAGGTTTTAACTCGAGCTGCAACAGCGTACGCTCTGAAGGGAGGTAGACTACAGCTTGATATAAACCACCTCAGAGACAAACCAACTGGCTGGGAGGAGTCAAATAAACCTAAGGACTTTGTAAGAGGAATAAGGATTTTCAGAGCCCTTCTGTGCCAATCACCCTTTACCTTGCAGGATTCTTGAGGGAGACAGAGCTCTGGAGAAGGACACCATTTGGGAAACAAATGGGATGTGTCTTATTGTCTGGGACTATGTCTAACATTCCATAATACAAAGTTCTAATAATACAAGGAATCCTTCCTTGTTTTGACCCATGTGAGCCTTAAGTTGAGAAAGTGAAGATATTTTCAGGATGTGGGCAGAAGGACAAGTATGTTTGTCCTTGGGAAAGCAAGTTGTATTTCCCTAAGTGACATTCCTTGCCAATGGATCCAAGGGCTCACACTGGAGAAAGCAACTTCACTCTTTTGATACCCAGCTTCATCAAAAAAAAAGGTTCACTGTTGTCCCAGTGCTAGGGCCCTGCACCCCACCTGGACCTCCAGAGCTCTGTGTTAACATTGCTGCCCTGTGGAAGGCATAAATTACCTAAGCAGAGCCTTATGACTGAGCCCAAAGACACGAGCGTGTCTAACCCCAGGGCTGGTCTCCCTGCCGTCCTCTCATCACTCCTGCTACTCTGTCTGGGAAATGTTAGTGTTTGAGCAGTCTGAGGTCCTTGACTCTTTCCCTGATACTTGACAGAAGCCCCAAAGTGAAAAGAAACAATCACACCACCTTAGGTTCTACCCAGGTCAGGAAGCTCTATGCCTGACCTTGGCTACTCACTGCAAAGCTGGGAGCCGTCACTCATGTTCGAAGTGTACCCAGCACTTAGTGCTTTGCAGTCCTGACATTCCAAGGCAACTGCAGACATTAAACAGCTGCTTTCTTCCCTCTAAACACAAGAGTAGTGGGCTAAGATGCACAAGTTAAAACAAAGGAACGTGTTCAGCACTTCCCCTGAAGGGGCCAGTTTCCCAGACATGACAGACTGCATTACTCCTCAGCTCAGAGCACTTGTTATATAAACCACCCTTGTGAAGTTATACCAAGAGATTGCCAGCCATGTAACTTATTTTGTGTCTTCTTACACTTGACTCATGGAGGGATCTTTCTGAGAAAATAGTCCATTTCCAGTGTAGGTCCTCATTAAGAATGGAGCAGCCTTTTCTGAATGAAGACACTGAGGGCCAGAAGTCTCAAACTGGTGACCCACAAACCACATGCACTTCACAGACAAGATTTTCTTTTATTTTCATGATGCTTATAAAAAGAGTTGTCAACATATAAAATTTAAGAGATTTTTATGTAAAATTCTAGATATACAGCTTCTTAAAAAAAAAAACCGAGAACATTGGCCAACCCATGCAGTATTTCATGGCCCCAAATGAATTAAGCCAGGGGCCACTGATCCCTTAGAGGGGGCCACAGCCTTTTTAGTTTACCTGGATCACTTCATCCATGCTATTTTGCGAACCTATAGGGTTTAAATTTGCTACCTGTGAGGTCAGTCATCTAGGAGGTCAAAACAAGATATTGTGAATTGTTGGTTCCATGCCTAGTTTGCAACGGACTGAGCTTTTGCCTTATTATTTTTATTTTTATACAAAGAACGTCTATTAGGAGCATTTCCATATATGGAAAAAGACAGCTACTCTATGTAAAAGGGGGCAGTTTTACATTATTTACCTGAATAAATCAGGCATACAAATAAAATCCTGAAATGAGGATATAGAAGGAAGACTGGAAATTGGTATTATTCAGGGGTGATTGCCTTTGTTTTCCACCTCACGGTTTCCCCTTTACTTTCCTTACATGCATGTTATCTTTAGAATGTTCCTCAGTCAAAGGCCATGGTCACAATTCCCCTGCCTTTTTTTTTTTTCTTTTTTTCTTTTTTAATAACTCATTTGCACCCTTGGTAACAATTGTTGGAGCCCTGCAGGGGAATAATTGTGGGGGAATTAACCTCTGACATTTTTCTAAAAATAGCCCTAATAAATCCAATCATAGGTAATTTACCTGTCCTTGTTCCTCCCGGGGTAACCAGCATTGAAGAAAGATCTGGCAGGCTGGCATTCCTTCAGCAATTATCTGTGATCTGAGTTCCTGGCGCCTATGCTTTTTCTCTGTTTAGAAATATGTACTGATTGCCCTTTCCCCTCTGACCCGGTGACCTTGTTTGCTCAGCACCCTTCTTCTGGGTTGGAATGAGGCCATGCTGGTCCAATAGGATGTGCTGGGCTCCCATGGAGAGGCAGGGCGCAGATCAAGCTGAGGCATTTTTGGTCTCCCTCCCTCCCAGAGATCTCTGAGCTCTCCTCCTCCACTCCTGGCGCCAGAGCTTCCAGCATCCTAGCTCTGCAGCATCTCAGTCCTCAGCCCTAATTCAAATCCCCATAATTGAAACCAGTTTGGGGAAGTTTCTTGGTGTAGAAAACGAGGTGGGGGAGCCCTGAGTGGGTGACAGGGCTGTGGCTAGCAGAAATGCCCAGAGTCACAAAGAAATTAATTTCTCTTTCCCAAAACAAAAGGGTCCGAATAGGCTCTTCCCTTTTGTTCCAAGAGACCACAGTGAGGTGTGGCCATCAAGAAAATTTACCTTCCCAAGTGCCACTTCTGGTGGCACTTAAAATACAGTACAGAAAATCCTTGTAAATTCCGCTGCAGAGAAAAAGCCCTAAGCCTTTAAATGCACAGAAAAGTATGTCTATTATCTATCCTTTCCAAGTAAGTGTGCAGTTACTTAAATTGCCTTTGTCTTCTTCTTTTCAGCTGACATTATCTCTACGGTAGAATTCAACCACACGGGAGAATTACTAGCGACAGGGGACAAGGGGGGTCGGGTTGTAATATTTCAACGAGAGCAGGAGGTAAGTGGCGGTGAATACAAAATGCCCATTTTCTTCTCTTTCTAAAGGAGGCTTCCTGCTGTTGCTTAATCCTCATGTGTCACCCTTTACCTTTGCTGCTTTGCTCACAAACTTAAAACTGCCACAAGGTCATTAGCATCAGCAGTTCCACTCACACAAAACCACCTTTAAAAGGTGCTTTGGGGGGGGGGGGGCTTATCATTCCTCATTCAGAGACCCTCCCTTTCCATCCAAACTACAAAATTCCACAGATGCTTTTGGAGCACAACTCCTCTTTTTGTATTGGGGTTTGTTCTGAAGTTATTGAAATCTAGTCTTCCTTGATTTAAGGAAGTTGCCAGAAGAATATGAAAGAGGAAAAATAAAAGGTTTTGGTGTTTTTTGATTATTGCCAATAATTACAAATGGAACAAGTTGGGTCTGTAGAGAAGAAAATGACAGCTCAGCCTACCCAAGAAAGTGAAGTCCCCCAAAGTGACGTCTCAGTATGGCATACATGTTAGTGGAGGTGATGTGAGGGTCCCTGGGCTGAGTGCTGTATGCAGCACTATTTCTGAGCAAGAGTTCTAACTTCTAGTAAATCTCAAAAAGCCCATTTCTTCTTGAGACTTGGGTTCCACTAGGAATTGTTTCTCTTTTTCATATAAATTGAGTTTTTGGGTGTCTGCTTCTATTTTGTCAGAATGGAATTATGGCCCAATTTGATTTCCTTGTCCTCCCCTGGCACAATCTTGGAGCTTCCAGCAGGCTAGTCTGTGTTCTAGTAACTCTCCCATCTGCCACTGCCTGCCTCTGAGATTCATCAGGCACTCTGGAAGCGTGAAGGAGGCCCCATGTAAGAGAAAGGCTTCACCAGAGACTTCCTTAGCAATTTAATGCCTATTTTGTGCCTCAAAGCCATTTGCATTACACCTCCCCTCAAAAAAGGAAAGCCTCATTTAGAGGTGATATATTTGGTAATTGCACATTATTTGCAATTAATTTCTATAAGGGCATCGTAATCCCTCGGGGTTCTATATAAATTCAAGTGCTCAGCATTAAATCAGGCACCCAGCCTATTGCACTGGCCCTGGAAACATGAAAATGTGGTTGGCAAGTAGGAACTAATAGCTCTTCGTGACCTGGAATTTTTCCTGCTTTTCCAGAGCTGCCTGGTGCTAATTGGTCTGGCACATACTATACACACTTGACAGTCTGATTTGGATGGTAGCAAATCAACACTCTTATAAATTTGTTGTTAAGGTGGACTGGCTGTCTGTGCAAGTAAACAGGAGAGTAGCAAGTATGTCAGCATTGAAAGTCTTTTGAAAAGTGATTTTCAAATCTTCTCCAATTTAAAAAAAAAAAAAATCCAATTAGGTTCACAGTGATGATAAAGAGGAACCAGAGGAGCTATTCAGCATAAATTACCCAAGGCAGCATGTTGCCAGTAATATTCCACCCCACATTTTCCGTTACTATTTATAGGTTTCACCTATTTTAATTTACTGAAATATCTGGGAAGCCTGATTCATTAATAGAATGATGGGGGCCACATTCTAAAAAGCTAGGCTTTTTTTGTTCACTGGAAAATAAATGTTAATGAGGATAAAGAACATGCTGTTAAATGTTTATCTTTGTAGGGAGCCTGGGATTAAAATGCATGCTAAACCTGACAGACAAAGCCATGTGACATTGGGGCAGGCCAGCTTTTGACTTTAGTGGGCAAGCTCTGCTAGTGGGTTTTTAGTGAGCACAGTCCATAGAAACAGCTCATCAGAAACCCCCATGCCCACAAATGGATTTCACACCAGAGCTCAGCATCATTGCCCATCAGTAGGTTGAACAGGCTTTGGATGTTCTGTATCTACCTAGGAACATAAATGTTTATTAATAGTCATGCTTTTATACAAATATTTAAGAAGATTTGAATTTTTGAACAGTTTTCCAAAGCCTAAATTTCTTAGCTCTTGATAATGGTCCTAAAGTACCTGAAGTAAAACCTCCCGTCTCTCTTTCCTTTTCTTGTTAGCACTGTTTTCCCTCCTCTTCCCTTTTTTCCCTTTCTTTTGCCCCTTTCTGCAGACCCTTGCCCTGGGCCCCGTTCTCTCAGCATTTCTTTAGTTCCCGCTGTTCACCCTTTGCACAATCAGCACCAAGGGAAAGCCACAGGTAAAGTCTCATCATTCTCTTAATGATACAGATGGCCTCTCTGTGCTCCTGTTTTGTCACTCGTGTTGACAAAAAGTGGGGAGGGGTTCCTGATCCCCAAATCTGATCCCCCATAAGCTGAGAGACCATGGAGAAGTCATTTAATATACCTGAGCCTCATTTGTCCACATCCCTGCCCTGCCTACTTCTCAGAGATTTTATGAGGATCAGGTGGGATTTTAAAAGGCCAGTGGCCACTAAGCAAAAGACGGTGAAGAGAAGAAAAGAAAAAGACTGTGAAGGTCACAGTTGCTACCACTTTGTTTTTATTTATTTATTTATTTTTTGAGACAGGGTTTTCACTAAGTTGCTCAGAACCTCTGTAAGTTGCTGAGGCTGGCTTTGAACTTTTGATCAATCCTCCTGCCTCAACCTCCTGAGCTGTTCCATGCACCACCAGGCCAGACCTTTGTTCTTTTTTAAGGAATTGAGTACAAATATATGTGGACACCAGCATCAGATGGCTATTCCAAAGGGCATCTGAGGCATTCATTGGATGCACAAAAAAAATTGTGAGAGCTTCTGTTTATGTTGATTTTAAATCTTGTCTTATATGCTATTATGTATACCATATATTAGTGCAGAAGTTCATGTATATGGTTTATAAGAAAACAAATGCATGTTGGAGACACCAGTTGTTACCAAGAGGATGCATGATCAAACGCTTTGGAGGCTCCTAAGTAAGGGTAGAACATTACCTGTAATGGTCTCAGCTCATCCAGCTTTAACACCACCTCCCCCTCCTGCCCCTGATGATTCCACTCAAAGAAAAAAGGAATGGGCAAGTTTACAGTTGGTTTCCATGATTTAATCTTTTGTGTATTCTTTTTTTCCCTTTCTACAGAGTAAAAATCAGATTCATCGTAGGGGTGAATACAATGTTTACAGCACATTCCAGAGCCATGAACCCGAGTTCGATTACCTGAAGAGTTTAGAAATAGAAGAAAAAATCAACAAAATACGATGGCTTCCTCAGCAGAATGCAGCTTACTTTCTTCTGTCTACCAATGGTATGTGGAGGTGATTTTCCTGTTTGAGATTTTCAGAGATGTGGTCAGCCAGCAGTATATGTCAGTCTCTTTAGTCTCAATTTTCCTCTATACTTTGTGGTCTGGTGAACATAGAACCACGTTTACAAGATGCTTCACAGTGTACCAGGCACACACACAGTAGGCCCTCAATGCATAATAGCCATTTTTTAAAATAAATATCAAATTTATGACTGAATTGTGTGGTACCCATTATCAGCAGTTTTCAACTAATGTAGATTATTTGCAGGTGTTTTTAGTATGTGACTTCCTGTCTTTAAGATTCACCAAATGTTACTCTGGGCACACATTTCAGGAAACTTGACATGCTGTCTCTGTGAGTTTGGCATGCTGAATAGAAGTTATTAATCCCTAAATATATTTTAGGGTCTGTAAAGCAGATGGCTGTGTGTGTGTCTCTGACAAAATATCTAAGCTGGGAGCCCAAGTCAGGAGGAGTTAGGGACACAGCAAAAGAATTGATCAAGAAAGGATTTCCTTTTCCATCTCCCTCCAGACTCCTGTACCGTTTGTTGGTTTAGAAGGAATTGATATAAATAGGTCAGAGAGAGAACGTTGGTGTTTGAATAGAGAGCCAAAGTGCTCATTCACTGGATAAGTGGAGTTACTAGAGTTACCTCCCTCCAGGTTCTTAAACCTGTGCTGCAAATAGCCATCTATGCCCAACACAATTTAAAATAAAGCCATATAGGAAAGGGTGCTGCTTTTTCAGCATGACAAGAGGATTCATATATGGAAATTAAACACCATTTCCCAGACAAATAAGTTGGAGACTGATTCCTTTCATTTGTGTGTGTTTATGAGGAGTACACACTTAAATGCAAATCAAGACGCAAGGGATTTGCTTTTTACCTACACACAGCATTTAAGAAGAAAGGAAACTGGTCATATCAAGTGAAAAAAAATGCAGATGATATCTATAACACAATAAAGCATGTGTTATTTTAAAAGCCTGGAAAGAATCACATCAAAAAGCTCATCATGATTAATTTTTGATTGTGCATTATAGGTGACCTGTAAATTTGGTTTTTTTATCATTGTAGTTCACTTAACATTTTCATTGTCTAATTTTGTACAATGAGTCCTCTATTAATTTTATGCAAAAGAGAAAAGTTTTCTGTGCATATGAGCCCCCACATCCCTCTAATATAAAGTGTAAGAAAATGGCAGTTTTGAAACAGGCATTTTAGAGTTATCCAAGCACATCTCATCTCAACAGGACCAGATCTCTACTCATCTGTTTTTCCAGATTCCAAATAATTTAATTTTTTCTCATAACTATATTTATTGTTCTGTTTATATTTTGAAAACCTAATTTCTTGGAAACCAAACCACATGATTTTGTTTCAGTTTCTTCCCTTTGAATTTTGCTGTTCAATTTTCATCCAGAGGCTCTGCAGTTTCAACATGACTCAGAATAAAAGGGACTTCTGATAGTTTTGACCTAATTACTTCCGGCAGAGGAAAAGTGTCTGATTATCTTCTATAGCTAGATTATGTTATATTATAAAATTTAGCCTATTGATTATTGCAATAAAATTCAAAGACTTATTAACTACTTTGGAGGGGGGTTGGGAAGGAAAGTGAAATGCAATGAAGATTAATTATATAGCATAATGTTCTGTTAATTGAGTTTTTAAATAGTTTTTTGATTAACAAGGATATTATCTTCCCATTTGGGATGTTATTTCATATGCCAACAGCATCTCAAAATGATTTTTATAAGAAAAATTCCCATGTTCTTTTGCAATTTGCTATTTTATACTAATATTGAGGTTGAGACTCCCCCCTAAGCCAAATAGGTTAACATGCAAAAATTAATGGAAGACAATTGGAATTACTGTACAAAAGAGAAAATGAAGATTAATGATAAGATTGTGTTTAAAGCTGCCACAAGTGATGATAAACTACTCAGAGAACCAGTCAGAAGAAAGAAAAAGCCATTACTCATAGAAACAGCCACATGTTCCTTAGACTTTTTTATCCACAAAGCTTCAAGATACTGAGTCAAGAAAAATGGTGTGATAATCAAGTCAAGGATGACTCCCGGCAGTGCAACCCTGGGGAATTGGATCGAATCCTCCATCAATTATCTTTTTTTAAAATTGTGCTTATCTCATTATAGTTGGACCTAATTTTTACCTTCTGCTAAAGTGTTTTTCCAACCTCATAATTTTTAATGAAAAAATAAAACTAGTATCCCATTGTGAATCTAGACCTTGAAATTATCTGTCATGTGAAAATATGTTGCTTGACCGAGCTTTCCACTTCTTTCTTGATGCCTCTGATGAGAAGGAAAGTGATCCTGAGTTTGTTTTTCATCAAAGTGATACATGTTCACTGTAAAAATTGAGGAAATACAGAGAAGCAAAATGAAGACCATAAAAGTGTTCCAATCCAGATAAATCTCCTATTAATGTCTTTTAAAGCAAGAGACCAAAGGCACAGATGAATTTGGGTGTTTGTTTTTTTTTTGAACAGAAATGTGATATATTCTACAAACTTTTTAAATCATGTTTTTAATTTAATAACATGGATCTTTTCCTAATTGTTAAATATTCTTCTAAATATCGCAACATTTTCAATGACTACATAGTATTCCTATGTATGATGCCTCGAGTATCCAACTATCGAATCTTTAGGGGTTAACAAATTCTCACTCCTATAAATTAATATTATATTATGTATATAATCGAATCCTATAAACCCTTATAGATGTTATAAATAAACATAATTAGGCAAAACACATTATAATCATATATAACCTGTTATATCTACTAAAAATAGTTATATAATTATATAAATAAATATAATGAATATACAGAAATTTTTCATATTATCTCTGTCTAGTAGAATTGAGAGTTTTTTTATATCTTTCTGCTCATTTTAATTTTCTAAATAACAAAAGACATCTGTACTAAAAAAAAAAATCTATATGTGCGAAATTATTATAGGTTTGTAACCTCCCCCCAGAAAAATCACATCAAGGAAACCCTGTAAGAATTTATGCAAAATTCTGATGACAAATTGTCCCTGATCAGAGGGATTATAAGCGATTTTTATTCTTTGTGTTTTACCTGTGATTTCACTCTTTCTTTGTACAGCAATTTATCATTCATGATAAAAACATAAGATAAAAATCGCCTTGCAAATGGGATGGGACACGTTTAAAAGCCAAGCAACAGAAAATATTTGGTGTTAAAAATCCACTGACTCTTGAGTTATTCTCAGCCACAGCTGATCAGGAGCTAATCAAGTGACTATAAATACAGTCCATGTTTCATCTTCTTACCCTAAAAAGCAGTATCTTATGCAACAGCAATCTAGAGAGGGTGGGACCAGAGGGGTTGGCATGTAGATGGAAAGTTCTGCATTAAGCTCACAGCTGGAAAAGGCTTCTTCACCTTTTGCCCATCACCAGCCAGGGTGAGTGCTTCGTTCAGAGCGCACAGATTGTAGCAGCCTTGCCAGTGACGCTCAGCTATGTGAAAACAGGGGCACTTATCTGTTCAAGTAGCCCCATTGCTGCTGAAAGCCCATGATGTGTGGCACATTTAAGACCTCCAAGGACAAGGCATTTGTTTCTGTTGGTTCAAAGAAGCAGTACTGTGAATTCACTTCCTGTCCTTGCAAGATCTGTCTTCCCAAAGATGCAGGAAATGGGAACTGTGGACCTGGATGAGGAGAAATGGAGGCCCGAGATGAGGGTGCAAAAGAAAAAGGAAATCCCAGTAAGGCAGGGAAGGGGGATGGCTTCCCCCATGACAGTGGTACAGAGAGGGGGTATGAAGTACAGACGTCACTGAGGGATGAGCCTAACGCTGTCAGGGCAGCATGTGGTTATTGCAAAATAGTTGACTAATTTGCTAATCCCAATAACAGCCACTTCTTGTAGATCATTATTAGCAGACCAGCACTGTGTTAAACACTCGCTTGCTATTATTCATTTAATCCCAGGAGCCCCTTGAGGGAGATACTGTTTCCCTTCATTTACAAATAAAGAAACTGAGGCACAGAGTAACTGTCTTCATTGGTTATGTTGAAATATGTGGCATATACTTACATGAAAAACATATTTATCTGAAACTCACATTTAACTGGACGACTCAGTATTTTTTCCCTGCCAAGTGTGGGGGTCTTATTTGTTTGTTGTTCCAGAACTATTAGTGCAGCCTATTGCACAGGAATCCTAGAACCTGGCCACATGGAGCTGGAGTAGGGATTAGGCCCAAGGTTGTCAGATTCAAAAGCTTTCTCCATAGAGGCCAATACAAGTGTCTGCCTTCCAGGAGAGAGGTTAAAACAAGTACAAATAACAAACACAGGGTGTGATAAGGAAGGCGTGCAGAAGCATGTGGCCCCACAGACATGATTTGTTTAGCTCAATGTGTCTCCTTAAAGAACCAAAGGGTTGGGGTGTGGCTCAGTGGTTGATCACCTGCCTCCCATGTGTAGGCCCTAGGTTTGATCCCCAGTGCTGCAAGGGGTGAAGGGAAGGGCCAAAAGAATAGAAAGCCTTCAGGTGTGGCACCCACCTCCAGCTCCCCAGGTCCCCTATCCTCTGTCACTCACTGCCTTGGCCTGTCTGCAGGTCTTGGAGTTCTCATCTTTGTCTTAATGCTGTGGAGATACACAGGAGTCACCAAGTAACGTGATGTCCTGGGACAGTCAAAAGATGACGAAGTTCCAGCTGGAATTACAGGACCGGCAAGGGGACAGGAGCATGATTCGGTGCATCTCCATACCATTTTACTCCCCTTAGTATTGCTAGACATATGCCATATGCAGAGGAGATGCATATGTTCATCCATCCAGTATTTATTATCTATTACGCCCTGACACTATTCTAGATGCTGGAAGGTTGGTGATAAACAAGACAGAAAAAATCCTTGCCTTCAACAATTTTATATTCTAGTGAAAAAACAGAAGAACCAACCAGCCAACTAGCCAATCATCAGGTAGTGAAAAGTACTATAGGTTTAAAAAAAAAAAAGAATAAGAGAAAGTATATGGAGAATGGCGATGAGGACAGCATTTCTATGAAGGTTTTATGTAAGGCTCTCTGACGTTGGAGCAGGAACCAAAATAGCAGAGTGAAGGAACATGTGAAAAAGGCATTATGTGAAAAAGAGGGCAGAAGGTACAGTAAGCACAAAGGCCCCAGGAAGGGGGTGGGCTTAATGTTTATAATGAAGAGCCAGGAAACCATGGGGCAGGAGCACAGCCAGGGAGGGGGAGAGGGTAGGGTGGACAGTAAGAAGGGTGAGGACGCAGAGATGGCCAGCTAGGAAGGGCCTTTCTGGATATGCCCTGTGTTCGAGTGAGTGTTCAGTGAGGCAGGATGCTAAAATAGAGGTATTAAGAGTACCTACGTCCCAAAGTTACTGCAAATATTAAACCAATTTTTTAATCTAAAGTGCTAACATAGTCACATAATAAACTCTTATTATGCAATGTTGAATCGATATAATTTTTATTGAGTGAGCCAGATCAATACATAAGCTATAGAATTAACAGCACATTGTCAGTAAGAAAAATGAAACCATTTTTCCCAGTCTATGCTTTTGTGTGGGACCGTGAGATCTGCCTCTAAACGTTGAGAGGTGTGTGCACTGCCGCCCTGTCCGTGAGCCAGTCTCTGCAGCCACTTTCCATCACTGTCTCTCCCCTGTCCCCACTATCCTCTCCCACCTGCCACCCCCAGAAAAGCTCTTGACACGCTCCTCCCCTTTCTTTCCCCTGTAATTCTGATGGCCTGGTTGTCCTCTGCAGATAAAACTGTGAAGCTGTGGAAAGTCAGTGAGCGCGACAAGAGGCCGGAAGGCTACAATCTGAAAGATGAGGAGGGCCGGCTCCGGGATCCTGCCACCATCACGACCCTGCGGGTGAGTGGGGCTGCTGCTCTGGCCACCAGGGTCATGGGGGGGGACAGGGTCCTGGGGCTGGGCACATGCTGTCTGATACTGTAGGTTACAGCTGTAATGGGCGCATGAGGGCGCCCAGTCTCGGGTAGCAGATGGAGGAACGGGAGAGGTGCCAAGCCCTAATGACTACAAATCCGCGCTTTTCCTTTTGTCCCCGAGGACTCGCCACATGGCCACTGCCATACGTTACCATATTCTTAGCCTCTGTCTGCTCACATTATCTAAATGTCTTGAGCACCTTCTGTCCTCAGGGCACAGGGGATGAGACTCTCTGGGTGGAAAGTTGGAGTCTTATGATTCAGAACACAAACTGCAGAATCTAATAGGCCTGGGAGCAAATTGAGCCACTTACCAGACTCTAACACAGTCATTTAACCTTCACAAGCTTTAGATGTGCAAGTTATTTTTAGTTTCTCCATCTGCATGTGCTGAACATGATTCCCACTGTTGGTGGACTTCTGAAAATAATAAAGTGCAAGGAAGATGGCGGGTCCTTCCTCCATGGCTGGTACCCCCGCTGAACAAGGAATAGTTTCCTTCTAACCCTCCAGAAATACACAGCCTGGTAAGGGGAAGGGTTTGCACTGTTCAAATGACTACAATTCTCAATAGACAAACATACATAAAGAGAATGTCAGAGAACTGCAGTTTGATCAAAGGAGGAAGAAATTACATTTGGTTCTGGGACGGCTGAGAAAGGGCTCATAGGGAAATGGTAGTAAAAATGGATTTTTTGATGGTGGTGGTGGTGGTGGTATTGATGATTGAACTCAATGGCACTTGTCTCATTTTGTATTTTATTTAGAGACAGGGTCTCACTAAATTGCTGAGGCTGGCTTTGAACCCCCAATTCTCTTGCCTCAGCCTCCTGAGCTGCTGGAATTACAGGCGTGCACCACCGTACCCAGCTAAGCATGGATTTCTATAAGTAGATTTTTGAGAGAAGCCTTTCTAGATATAGTATGTTTTTAGTTAATTTATTGTTTGTGTACTTATACTGGGGATTGAACCCAGGGTGCTTTACCACTGGGCCACATCCCCATCCCTTTTTATTTTTTATTTTGAGACAGGGTCTCATTTAGTTGCTTAGGGCCTTGCTAAGTTGCTGAAGCTGGCCCCAAACTTGCCAATCCTCCTACCTCAGCTTCACTAGTCCCTGAGACTATAGGCTGGTTGTAGTTTAGACTGGTTTAGAACTGGATGAAAAGTTTCGTTTGGAACATAATGTGAACAGAAAAGCAGGCACGTGTTGAAACAAGCCATGGTCCCAAGGGACTTTTAAAACTGTGCAAAGTGAATGCTTTCAGATACCAGCTGCTCTATGGAAGACCAAAAACTGAGAAGGGGAGATGGCAAAGCATATGTGGGCAAGAGCAGTCCTCAGTCTAGGTTTAAAAGTATAAATGGGAATTGGATGGTCATTGTGCCTAATTAGCTCACTCGTTCATTTGTTTATTCTGCAAGTGCTTTTGAACAGACTGTTGGCCACAGTGCTAGGCTGTTGGGGATGGTCATTGCTAATGGGTACCTCATCTTAGCTGAGCTCCTTCTGAGCCAGCACACACTGATTCTCTGTTGCCTCTGGTCAGCCTGTACCTGCAAGTCCACCTTCTCCAACTAGGTAGGAAAGGCATAAACCCACCCTGATGCTCCAAGGGTTTGGAGACTGAGAGTAGAGCAGGCAGGAGTAGAAACCTTGAGTCTGTGTGTTTAGGATTTCGACTTCATTCCTCTCTGACTGATGACTGGGCATTTTACTTGAAACCCTGTGCCTCTAAGGTCTTATCTGTATTACAGGGATGACAGTAGTCCCTGGTCCTGGGATTTTTGTGAGGATTCATCACCCTTTCTTTTTTTCTTTCTCTTTTTCTGTCCCCCACCCCAGGGTACTAGGGATTGAACCCAGGGCCTCAGGCATGCTGGGAAAACACTCTGAGCTATATCCCCAGCTCTGTTGTGAAGATCTAGTAAGAGAGTGTGTGTCATGAAGAGTTTAGCCTGTGTGGGGTCTGGCTCACAGAGAGTACTGGATGTCAGCTTCCTGCTGCTGTTTTAGGGTTACACCCACCAGAGACATCACCACCACCACCAGGGCTGTTGATAGGCCTATACGTGAGAAAAGTCATATTTATTTTCATGTTTTTTATATTATTAACAAACTACTCTCAGATATCAAATAAGTGACAAGCACTCATGTGGGTCACACAATAGGAATTCAGACCATCTTTTGCCCTTCGGGACATTGTGATACTGTGTTATGGTTTGGATGTGAGGTGTCCCCCAAAAGCTCATGTGGGAGACAATGCAAGAAGGTTCAGAGGAGGAATGACTGGATCGTGAGAGTTTTAACCCAATCAGTGAATTAATCCCAATAGGAATTAACTGAGTGGTAACTGAAGCTGGTAGGGTATGGCTGGAGGAGGTGGGGAATTGGGGGTGTGGCTATGGAGTACATATTTTGTATATGCAAAATACATATTTTGTATAGGCAAGTGGAGATCTCCGTCTGCTCTCTGAATTGCCTCCCTCCGCCACACTCTCCCACCTCCAGCCCCAAGGAATGGAACCAGCTGTCTATGGACTGAGACCTCTGAAACCACAAGCCCCCAAATAAACTTTTCCTCCTCTGCCATTATTCTGGTTGGGTCTGTTAGTCATTAGTCACAGCAGCAAAAAAGCTGACTAAAAAAGGAGGGTTTCTCGCGATGGATGAGGTACAAATGAAGAGTTGAATCCATAAAATTCTGCCTGCCCAGACTTTACCTTGTCCTCATTTTTTGTGTGCATGGGATTTCTTAGATGCCATCTTAGTGCCCACTATGGATTCCTGTCATCCATGGCATCTGGAGGATTTCAGAGATATGGGCCTAATCCCTTGGAGAAGTCACCCCTGTAGTAAAGAGAAGAGAAAGCCTATTTAAGTTCTCATTGGGGCAGAGACCCCTCCCCATGGCAAGATGGTGACACTAAAGGAGTAGACTTTAAATCAAACACGAAGTGGGCACTGAGACTGGGAGTTAGAGATTCCCAATTTGTTTTTTTGATTTTCTTAAGCTAGTTGCGTGATCCAGGCCCCAGTGAATCACATTTCTTCCCTCCAGGTTTTGTTTTTAAGTTGTCGAGCAGCAGATTGAAAAATGCATAAATCCCAAACCCATCCACAGTGGGGTAGTCTAAAGGAATCCACATTTTTAATTGACCCTGGTGGTTGAGGCAAGAGGGTCTGTGGCCCCTGGACTCTACCGTCTCTAAGACCCCTTGGAACTGTCACTTTTATAAGCCTCTGATATTTTGCAATCATGTGAGCAGCTGTTATGCCAATGTGGGAGACATATTTGCCATAAAATCATTTGACTCATATCTGATTTTACCTCCTATCTCTTCCTGAGCTTTTAAATATCCTGCATTTCTGTGTAAACATCCACACCCCAGCATTCTTTCTCTCAATGCAAACTCTGAAAAAGCCAACCTCCCTTTCTTTTTAGATCCCAGTGGTAAAAGAAGAAGAAAAAAAATGGCAACTCTGAAAACCATAGATTCAGAACAATGACTCCAAACAGAGAAGGAGCTGACATGATATTAATCAGACTATAATTTTACTAACATGCTCTGCTCTTGAAATTTGCATTGCCAGCAATTGTGTCTTTTTTTTTTCTTTTTTCCTCCCTATACTATGATTACCTCTTGCTCACTTTCACAGTTTCCAGTTCTACATGGGTCTTGAGAGTGAGAACATTTAATAATACCCGACAGCTAATTAATCCTCACTGTGTAATGAACCTGTTCTGTTTCAGCTCTGAGAGGCTCAGCTTTTCAAAGCAAGAATGCAGCTAATTTTTTTTTTCATGGAAGATACCCTTTCAAATTCAATCACTTGTTACCCAAAGAGCCTATGAGAAGTACTTCTATGAAAACAGCATCCCTGCTCAATATCATAGCATTCAAAGTAATAATCATGATGCTATTTAATAACACCTCATCATTGTAAAACACCCTTTACATAAAAAATAAATGGTTCCTTACCTAATAATGCCTTGATTCTTCCTCAGGACAGACAGTGAGGACCACAGTAGCCGAGTTCCATTTAGCCCTGGATGCTTAAATCTGACCCAGGCTTAGAGAGGGCAAGTGACTTGCCCAGTGTCTTTCAATTGATTATTCCGAGACTAGAACTGAAAGGGAAGAGGTAGGCCTGGGCTCTTAAGCACATCCATTAGGGCATTCAAAATAGTTATCATAATAATTAGTGTCAGGGGCTGGGATTGTGGCTCAGTGGTTGAGTGCTCGCCTAGCACGTGCAAGACCCTGGGTTCAATCCTTAGCATCACATAAAAATAAAAATAAATAAAATAAAGATATTGTGTCCAGTTACAACTAAAAAATAAATGTTAAAATTTTTTTTAAAAAAAATAATAATTAGTGTCATTATTATTCCAGGTCAGAGGATCTCTGTGTTAGTCAGCTTTCCATGCTTGTCACCAAAATACCTGACTATAACAGGAGAAAAAGTTTATTTTGAGCTCACAGTTTTAGATCTTCAGTCCATGGTCAGCCAACTCTCTACAGGTTTTGTTTTAAGACAAAAACTCTGGGCCTGAGGTGAGGCAGAGCATCATGGCAGCTTGGTGGAGGAAAGTGCTTACCTCCTGGTAGCCAGGAAGCAGATCAAAAGAAGGAAGAGACAAGGTGACAAGATATGATCTCCCTAGGTACACCTCCAGTGACCAGCTTCTCCCAGCCACACCCCACCTGCCTACATTACCACCCAGTTAGTCCATTCAAATTAGTAATCCATCAAATGGATTAATCCACTGTTGAGGTTTCAACTCTTATGATAAAATCATTTCACCTCCTGCATTAACACAAGAGCTGTGGGAGGGGGGCACCTCCTACCCAAACCATAATAATTTCTCTCTCCCCCTGTCACTCACATACTTTGAGTTTCCAGACCCCTGACCTTA